TAAAAGTAAAAGAATAAAACTCAAAATTTATATTTTATTCTCATTTATTCATTTTTTTTAATTTTGGTTGCACAATAGGACTTTCATCCCTTATCTCACTCCACCCGCGTGTCATGTAACTGAAATTCAAATTCTTTTACTTCTAGTAAAAGAAGATGACTATTTGTTATATTTATATTCCTTAAAAATTTTAAATTTTGATTACATGAATTCATTATTAAACTTGAAATAGGCATTCAATGTTGATTTAGTTATAATAAATAATCAAAATATTAAAATCAATTGTCAACGAATTTAAATAATTCAATGATCATTTTCTTTCGTTAAAAGAAATGGATATTGAGTTTGAGTGTATGACATGCGGATGAACTGAAATAAAAGATGGGAGATACTTGTCTCCCATTATACAACTAAGATAAAAAAAAAATATTAAAAGCAATTATTTTGGTTACTGAATTGAAAAATCAGTAAAAAATTTGGTTAGGTCTTAGTTACTAAAAATGAAAAAAATAAAAAAAAACAAATAAACAGAGTTCAAAATTTGAGTTTGGTTAGGTTGAAACTGAACCGTGCGCAAGCCTTAGTCTTGCCCTAGGTATTCGTGTTTCTGGAGAAAGATCGTCGCCGGGGAATCAATAATTCCCTGATGACGGCCTCGCCGTTCGTATTTCCGATCTTGGACGCAGGCTAAAAAATGTACATTTATGGACTTGATCGAGCGGAATAAAAGATTAAGGACTATATATTGCTTTACTGGTAAAAGATTAACGCCTGTAACTTGCATTATTTATATGATCTTAAACGACGGCGTTTATCCGTGTCAAACAAAAAATCTTCCTCTTCTTCGCCTTATCCAAAACCCCTCCGAAAACCCCTGCAAGTTCGAACCAGAAAATCCCCGTCAATGGCAGCAAAGTTCATACGCCAACCCAAAATCTCCATTTCAGAAAATTAAGCACTCCATAATTCTTAATTCTCTTAATTTGATAGAACCCAATTTTATGCCTTTCCCTCTTTAATCATGGAACTCTCTTCTTCCCTCACATGCCGCCCCAAATTCTCTGATATCTCCTTCTCTTCCTCTTTCTCCCCTTTCCCACTTCAAATCCAGCTGCAATCCTCAAAACCCAAGTCACAGAATCTCCGAATTTTCGCTGTTGCTGTTGACCCTCAAGAGCTCCCGAGAAACAGCCCGCAGAGACTTCTCAAAGAGCTTTCCGAGCGTAAAAGAGCCACTGGCCCAAAGAAAAAGGTACCTCCGAAAAGGTTCATACTAAAGCCCCCACTTGATGATAAGAAATTGACTGAAAGATTTCTCAATAGCCCTCAGCTGTCCCTAAAGCAGTTTCCTTTGTTGAGTTCTTGCTTGCCGTCTTCTCGGCTTAACAATGCTGATAAAACATGGATGGATGAGTACTTGCTTGAGGCAAAGCAAGCTCTGGGTTACCCCCTGGAGCCGTCTGACCAATTGGGAGATGATAATCCAGCGAAGCAGTTTGATACATTGTTGTATTTGGCATTTCAACATCCTTCTTGTGAGAGAGCTAATGCAAGGCATGTTAAGTCGGGGCATTCGAGGCTGTTGTTCCTGGGGCAGTATGTGCTTGAATTGGCCTTTGCGGAGTATTACTTGCAGAGGTACCCAAGGGAGTCTCCCGGGCCGATGAGGGAAAGGGTTTTTGCTCTGATTGGGAAGAGGAATTTGCCCAAGTGGATTAAAGCTTCTAGCTTGCAAAATTTGATATTTCCTTATGATGATATGGATAAGTTGATCAGGAAGGAGCGGGAACCACCAGTGAAGTAAGTTTTACTTCTTTCTTTTATTAATATTATTACTAGATGAATAATGTGCTTCATTTAGATTTTAAGACTCACGATATGTAGATTTTTTGGTTTTGTCTGCTCTTCTGAATTTGAGAAATTTGTAGTTCATTGAGTTGGTCTTGTATTTATCTTTTTCAAAATGAAATTGGAATACTGTTGGCAAGAAGATTAGGCACTATGATAAGTAGAATTGTTGTCTATGTTGTTGGTTTTTATTTGAGGAAAGGATGCCAAAGTGTTCATTTGGAAAGTGGTACACTTGTGACAACTATCCTTTACCATTGGACAAAAACTAAACAATTAAAGACTTGATTTGCATAAAGGACAAAAAAAAAAAAAGGAATAGAGACTTGATCAGCATATACAGCTCTTTGTTATGCCATGATATTTTTTAACAGTTGTTTATTGTTAATGCTCTATGGCTACCGTACTCTTGTGTTTCTCTGAGGTAAGAATCAACATGTAAAGAAACGAAAGGTTCTTAGAATTGCCTCCAAACATGCTTTTTGGTGAGGAAATGAATTTTATTCTTCTCCAAAAAGGTTGCTTTGCTTTTGTGTTAATATTATATATCTGTTTTCTATCATTTTTGTGTTATGATTTAGACAACAAAAATATGCATGATAGGTTACCCTTTTGTTAGAGGATGTTATGTTGGCTTTTATGCCATCAGGAAGCATAATGCAATAATATATTTCTCCAATTGCTTCTTGTATGGTAAAGATTTGAATTCTAACCTCTGCAGTACACCAATTTATGCCCAATAAACTTATTCGCTTCCCTGTGTAATCTAAGTAGCAGTATCCTTTTGTTGTAATTTGTGTGGAGTTATGTTACAAAATGCATTTGATTTGTGGCTCATGAGAAGTGAAAACTGCTTCACTGATGACCCAATTTGACCACTAAATTTATATTTTATGTCAGGTCTGTGTTCTGGGCTTTATTTGGGGCAATATACTTGTGTTTTGGTATGCCAGAAGTGTATCGTGTCCTTTTTGAGGTATTTGGGATGGATCCAGAAGCTGAGGACTGCCAACCAAGGTTAAGGAGACAACTGGAAGATGTAGATTATGTTTCCGTTGAATTTGATGGTCAGAAGCTCAGTTGGCAAGATGTAGCTACGTATAAAGTAAGCCTTATTCTTTTCTCCTATCTTTTTATACATTTTTCATTTAAAATAGTCTAAAACCTAAAAAAGGATAAAAAGAAAAGGAAAAGTGGAATATACCCCTTGGACCATGTTAAAGAATATTTGGAAGGCAAATGACAACATTCTGTCATATCTGCATCCAGCCATTAGAACTCTATATCTAGGGCCAGGGGTGAATGATACATACAGGACAAGATTCTGATCTAGATGGAAGAAGCAACTTTACAATCTCATCTTGTGTATTTTATTTGAAGCCTTATGTCATATACTAGACTGTTGTCTAGCAATTTGTAGTATTTGCAACTTTTCAATAGATGAGACGCCATTTCATTCTCATTTAATAGTGGAAGGAAACTAAAGCCAATTCTTTTTTCCTTTACAGCCCCCTGAAGATGCACTTTTTGCACACCCAAGGTTATTTAGGGCTTGTGTTCCTCCTGGTATGCATCGGTTCCGAGGAAATGTTTGGGATTATGACAGCAAACCTCAAGTAATGCAGGCACTGGGATATCCCTTGACAATGAGTGATAGAATTCCTGAAATTACTGAAGCCAGGAACGTTGAACTGGGACTAGGGCTACAGGTAAATACTTCTTGTCTTTTGTATGTGCATCTATCTTGCATGCATATATGCGTGTGAGCCCACATGCATAAATTTGATTCATGGTTTGTCTGTCTGTTTATTCTCATTCTCTTTTATTTTGGCTGGTGTTTATTCTCATTCTCTAGATATGAAATACTAATTTTCTTTTTGACAATGCTGGAAACTGAACCAATTTTCGTTCCCACTTGATTCTCATGTCTCATTCACCATTAAAAAGTATATAAACCATTTTACTGATTTACATTTCTTATTGAGACCATTTGATATACATTTGTGAACTTACATCAATCCTATAATTTTAAAGGTTGAAGTACTATATTATCATACTTTAGTCTTTAGTGTCAGATTAATCCTTTTTCTGTAGCCCCATCTACTTCTCATGTATATTTACTTCCCATTGGCAGTGCTACCATTTCATTTGTTGATTCATAGATGCCAAAGGAGGCTATCAACGCAATGTTCAATAGATTCATACTGAATAATTTAACCATCAAACAATCTGATTTAAGTGTTTTTT